AAACAAAGACTTGATAAAATAAGAAACTAGTTGAAAGAGGAAAAAAGAAAAAAAATGGAAAATTTTAAACAGAAAGATAAACGAATCATGAGAAAAAAACCTCAAATTCTATATACTATTTTCCCCTAGCACTGGAGTTTTGCAATCCCATGTGGGCTGTAAACTTGCTGTTCACCTGTTCTTCCAGTTGGCCTTTTGGGTGTGGGGCCTGCTGCATTGATTCTTAGGTGTCTTTGCCTGGGAGTACTTCACCTCCCCTTGTGAGTGGACCAGACTCAGTGTAAGTTGTTTTTAGTTGCTCTGAGTGGCATTTGTTCCCTGAAGGCTTTCATGCCTCTTTAGAGGATCAAAATAAAAATGACCATGCCCGATCTCTAGCCCCAGAGCCGAAAAATTATGGTCCCCTCTCTCAGGGATAAATGGTCTTCACTTTTGTGTGTGCCAAACTCTACAGACTCCTGCAGTGTGTGCCCACACCAATCCTCCCAGGGGACTGCGGATGGTTGCCAGTTACTGTCCTTTACAGGGTTCCCACACAGAGAGCTGTTGCCTGGTCCTGCATGCACCTGCTCTGCCCCTCCCAGGGGAAGGCAGAGGGTCCCCATGCTCCTGTCCTTTACAGGGTCTCCACGCAGAAAGCAGTCACCCCAGTGGGCCATGGCTTGTGGTTTATGGTGAACTGAATTGAGAGCCTCCTCCAGAGCTCGCTGACAACTGGTTTCTCTGCTCCAGTGCTTGGGAACTCTACTGGCTCAGGCAACCTGTTCTTTCTGTGATTCAGGGGATCCTGAGACCACATTGTCCCAACTAGTCTCCCACTTCACCTAGTGAGCACATTTCAGGCAGGGATGTCTTTCACTGGAGCAGATTTCTACAGGTTCTGGTTTTGTGCTCTGGGGTTATTTCTCTTTCCCATAGCCAGCTTATGGAGGTTCCCTCACCTGCCCTTTATCTTTCTTCCCTCAGATTCACTTCCCTGCACCTCCTACCTTGCAAAAAGTGGTCGCTTTTCCACTTGTAGAGATTCAGCAATTCTTTTCTTACATCTCAGGTTGAATTCATAGGTGTTCAGAATGATGTGATAGTCCATCCACATCTTTGTAAATGAGAAGACTATTTTTTTATGGATGAAATTTTCTATATATTCCATTTTCTATATATGTACCACATGTTCTTTATCCATTCATCAGTCAGTGGACATTTGGGCTCGTTCCATAATTTGGCTATTGTAGATAATGCTGCTATAAATATTGGGGTGCATGTATCCTTTGGAATCAGTGTTTTTTAATTCTTTGGGTAAATATCTAGTATTGCAATTATTGGATCATATGGTAGTTCTATTTTTAACTTTTTGAGTCACCTCCATACTGTTTTCCAGAGTGCAGCCCTAGTCTGCATTCCTACCAACAGAGAAAGAGGCAGAACCATAGATCTTAGATATAACATACACAATGTGCTGGCGGGTAGAGCACTTAACTGTTTGGAGTTTTAAAAATCCCATTTATTTTTGTTTGTTTATTTATTCATTTGTTTATTTAGTGTTTTACTCTAAGCTAATCATTTACCTCATGGACATATTAAGAGAGACCAACAGTATTGATGTAATTGAACTATGGACACCAGCAGTACCCAAATAACTAGGGACTGAGACAGTGATTGAACCAGCAGACCTCCAAGAATGGGGGCTGCAGCCTGATTCCACACACATGGAGAACTGTAGCTGCCACCAACAGTTCCCAACTTGGAATCTGAGTTCAGAACCAAGGACTAGGTTTAAGTTACTATGAACTATTCAATAGAGTGCCCTCTACACATAACCACAAATTTCCATTGTGGACTAAATCAGCAGGTTCCATTAATGAAGATGGCAGACAGGAAACAGGGAACAGACTAAGCCACCAAAGAGCAGTGAATACAGACTGTGGACTGGAACTGGGGAAGGAATTCCAATGTGGACTTGTGGATTGAACCAAGGGCTAAGAACGGTTGCTCTGTCAGAACCTCCTGTATCAGTGACAGAATGATCTATTAACCCTGGGTTGGAAAGGCAATTCATTCAGAAGCTCTAATGCAAAAAAGATCAGAGTCCAAAGCAAGATGGACTTACCAATGGCTCTTGGAAATGTTGAGAAAGAGTGAACTCAAAAGGATTCATGGGGCACCACACCTGTTTTTCTTGTTGTCCCCAAATACAGTCAGAAGTTTGCTTTGGATCTAGACACTGACACCAAATCTGTTAAACAAACAAATTGAACCAAGTAATTCTAAAGACCTAATTGACTTTATTAAGTGATTTTTTGAATTGGGTAATATCTCATCTAGGAATTAGAAAAGAGCTCCATTATGTGGTAGAAAAGGAAAGGATTTTAAATGAAGAAAGCAGAAAAACAATTAGGAAAGAATCCTTGTTTTAGGCCCAGTTGCCATCCTAAGGGGAGAGAAGGGAATCTGTCAGTACAGTTTTTAGTGCTAACCAGGAAACTGCCAAGTTGACTGCTGTAAGATTACATCCCTGGGGGTTGAAACTGCCGTTAGGTGCCAAGTCTTGGTTTACTGACTTGGGGCTTTAACTTAAATGGATCCATTATGGCCCTGTGGCTTTCTTTTTAACACATCTCTCCATAGAACTATAAAACCTGTGTGTCTCACACTGACTTCATTTTGAGTCCTAGTTTTACCTCTCCCCACCTAATTATGTGCTCTGCCTTTGCTTCCTGAGACAGAGCTCTGCCCTTGGATCCTAGTTCTGAGCATTGCTAACAGTAGGACCCTCGTTGTCTTTCTCTCAACCTCATCATTTATTTGATTTTTAATTTGAAGTTGGAAATGGTTATATGTCCTTACAGAATTATTAAGGGGACGAGATGAGGAATATATGGAGAGATGCACATCTAAGGTTTATTGGCATTCTCACCTTCCTCCCATTTCTATCCCAGCTACAGAGAACACACTGCTTGAGGGTGAAATACAACCTCCCAGGGATACCATAAAGTACTCTGCCCCTGCTCCCCCTGCATTGCTGTTGCAGCAGAAAATAATAAATAACAGAGCTTCACATACAACATCAGGTGAGGTATAGAACCTTAACAATAGGGCATGGCTTTTGTGAGGTTGAAATTTGCTCAGCACACAGAATTTTACTGTCCATATCTGCTTACCCCCTAATCCTGTCAGTTGGTTCCCTTTCTTTTTATTTGTTCCATTCCTTAGGACCTGTCTCAGTCAGATTTCCTCACCCTCCTATGTATTGTTTTATCTAGAAAGTATGCTGGCTCATGAAACAAGGTGTTTAAAGGACTCTTTTTGTTTTTCCTCCCCCATCCTCTGAGAATGCAAAGGCATGAGACTACACCTAATGGGGCTGGAGTCTCACCTTGTTGGCTCCTCCTTGAGGCCCAGGTTGTATATGCCACTTCCACACCCAGGCTTGCTCATTTTGCTTTGTGTGCTGCCTGCTGTCCAAAGGGGTTGTGGGGGTTTGGTCTCCAAACAGCAAGAGGTGGTCCCTTCACATGCCAGATGCTCAAGATTTCCATTCTTCTGTATGTGAAAAATATTCCTGCTGGGTAGTCAGAAGTGTTGGCACCATGATTAATAGCTTAATAGCTTCCTTTTTCATATTTGACAAGCTAGATTCCCATACTTTTCTCTTCTAAGGAGAATGGTTGCATGCCCCATTCATATGTGTGCCAGGCCAGACAATGTACACTTGGTCTGAATAATTTCTTCCAAAAATATCTTTTGCCATCCTCTCCTGCACTTCAGACTTTGGCTACAAGGAAGCCCATAGAGGATGTCCTGATCCCTCACTTCTAGCCAAAGGACATTTCTACAGCCTGCATGCTGCCCAGGCATCAGTGGTGACTTGAGGTTGTTCCCTGGTCTAAAAATTCTGCACCCAATCTCAGTAGGGGACAGTATACAAGTATTTCACATTACATTTAGTCCTGAGTATATGATTTCTTCTGGTGCACCTCTTAAGGTATAAGTCTCCAGTGATCAGATAGATCCAAGACTCCAAAACGTGCTCAGTTTCATTCACATCAGAGGTGACAGAGGGACCTCCTTATCGTGACTGGTATCTTACATCCCATTCAGTAACTGCTTCAGTCTTTGCTAACATGATCTTTTACATCAATGACACTTTATACGTCAGTCAGTCCTCTAGGTGGATTATCTCTCCTACATGATTTCTTTCCACTTTTATACACAGGCATAAAGCAGGTAATGGGTGGGGGTCACAGGACAGTTGGGGTGACTCATAGCAAGTCCCAAGTGGATAGTCCAACATGTTTTTTTAGAACATGGGAATCCATGCCACCTACTGTTTCTGCTAGAGGAAAAATAAAAATAATCCTTTTAATACCTTGTTTCATGAACCAGCACATTTTCTAGATAAAAGAAAACACATTTGCAACCATTAAAACTTTCTATCTCCTAATCAAGATATATAGCATCTTTTCTGAGAAGGAAAGGAGCCACTAATTCTTGTTTAGCTGCCTCAGAGGGGAATCAATGTCTATGACATGCTGATGTTGGAGGTTATCAGAAGTGGGTTTTCTGGAGGTTCTTACACCACAGGTGAGAAGGGGTGTGGTGGTGAATGTTGGTGTTGTCTTTTTAGATTTGCTACCACAAAGAAGTATTATTTTCATAACATTACAAATAAAGAAAGTGAAGCAAGTTAAATAAAGAAAAATATGGGCAGCTAAGTTTGGATGGAAGAATCAGTCTTTGAAATAAGTCTAGAAAAATGAAGAACACCTTTAAGAAGAAGGGCTTTCCAAGATAAGGGAAGAGGCTGAGCATGGGCAAACTTTTCCTCTAGGTCAGAAGTCTACACAAAGCCTGAACAGAAAGAGAAGAGCTCCTGAATACAATGTTGTGGTGAGGACTGAGTTTCTCCCTTGCCCATAATAACACACCCAAGCCACCTCTTGCACTAACTCGTTTTGCTTCCCTCTTCTTTGCTCCCCATACGGTCCTCTACTCCTCCAGCCATGGGGTCCTCCTCTTCCACATCCTCTAATAGAAAGGGTTGCGATTTGGCCTCCAGCTTTGACAACTTTTTTAAGAACTTCAAGGTGGAAAGCAAAATCCTCTCTCAGGAAACCATCACATTGATTCAATCACGCCTGAAGGAGGGGGACCTTCAGAGAGCAGTTTCTGCAATTAGTGATGCATTGAGAGACATTGACAATGCCCCACTGAGCATTGCTGTGACTGGGGAGTCTGGGACAGGGAAGTCCAGCTTCATCAATGCCTTGCGGGGTTTGAAGCATGAAGAAGAAGGGGCTGCCCCCACTGGGGAACTGGAGACAACTTTTGAGAGAACCAAATATGAACACAAGAAGTTTCCCAATGTGACATTATGGGACCTGCCAGGCATAGGGACCACTAACTTTCGGCCTCAGGAGTATCTGGAGAAAATGAAATTTGGTGAGTATGACTTCTTTATTATCATCTCTTCTACACGCTTCAAAATCAATGATGCACATCTAGCAAAGGCAATTAGAAAAATGAAAAAGAATTTCTACTTTGTCCGATCTAAAGTGGACAGTGATTTATATAATCTACAAAGGAGTAAACCCAACACATTCAATAAGGATGAAATCCTGCAAAGGATCCGCAATGACTGTGTGACTCAGTTGCAGAATGCCAAAGTGAGAGACCCTCAGGTCTTCTTAGTCTCCAACCTCGAGTTGTCTGACTATGATTTCCAAAGCCTGGAGACCGCCCTTCTGAGGGACCTCCCAGCCCACAAGCGCCATATCTTCATGCAATACCTGCCAAATGTTACTGATGCCACCATTGACCAGAAGAGGGATTCCCTGAGACAGAAGGTCTGGTTGGAGGCCCTGAAGGCTGGAGCATCAGCCACCATCCCTTTCATGGGCTTGATCAGTGATAATGATGTGGAGAAGCTGGAGGAGACCTTAACCCTCTACAGGTCTTACTTTGGGCTGGATGATGCATCCCTGGAAACCATGGCCAAGGACTTTAACGTGTCATTGGAGAAACTCAAGGCAAACCTTAGTTCTCCCCATTTGCTATCAGTTGAAAAGGATGATGAATCATTAGGAGAAAAACTGTTAAGATATGTGGAAAAATTCTGCTCTGTTAGTGGAGGACTCATTGCCACTGGTCTTTACTTTAGGAAGATTTTCTACTTGCAAAACTATTTCCTTGAGACTGTGGTGAGTGATGCAAAAGTTCTTTTTAAAAAAGAAGAGATTTTTAAGGACCTTGTGGGCTCTGGGCAAACCTATCCACTTCATAATGTAGGGAATGAAAATGGGAAAAGTGAGGCAGCCAGCTCCTGAATTATTCTCAGTGTTGGTATGGCATTGGTGCCTGGAAAATTGAGTTAGGACTTCCCTTGAAACAATACTGACCCACTGCCCTCAAGGTGTTTCACAGACATTTCCATAATTCACTCTTGAACAAACCATGAACTTAATGACTGTTACTTGACAGTGAAAGCAATCAGCTCTAAAGAATCCTTTGATATGATCCTTCCTAGGAAAATAAAGGACAAGAATCAAGTTTTCTGCTCATGGGAGAGAATAACACTTTGTGTTATTGTTACTGTATAGCCAGCACTGGTCTTTCTACTGACATAGTAGCAAAAAAATCTACTGTTTACACAGTAGATCCTCAAAACTGATTTTTAAATAAATGCATACATAGTCTATTTTTGGCATTCCTGTCATTCTGTTGTGAATGCATAAATTCTGATTGTTAGTAGATCATCAATTAATGTGACTGATAATCCTCCTTGTCCTTTCCAGAGTTATCATTTTATTTAAAAACATAAAAGATAGCTGAACATGTGTCACAGGAAATGAAAGAGAAACATTAGCTAAGGAAAAACTTTATCTGGGGTACTTTGTGAGAGGGACAAGTGTATAAGATAGAAAAATAGTCCAAGGTTTGCATATTGTAGGTCTAGACACTCCTTGGCTGCTGTCAGTGTATTTGGTGCCTGAACTTGAGAGGTTAGGGAATAAGAGACAAGAGGATTTTGATAAATCTAAGTGGAAATTTTAAAAATGCAAAAGGTATTTAAATATATGCAATCCTCCATCTAATAAGGGAAATGCAAATTAGGAATGACATCTACACAAAAATATCATTTATCTCCCTTTAGATTGGGGGAAATTGCAAAGTTTGACATTCTGTGGGTGAAACTATAGAAAAATCGTTGTCATCATGCAATGTTGGTGGGTACACAAAATGATCTAGCCTACAATGTGGTAAATTAACCCATCTCTAGGAAAATTATACACACATTAACACTTTGCCCCAGTGATCTCACTTTGAAGAATCAGGGCCATAAAAAATGAGAGTAGATTGGTGGTTGGTAGGCATTGGAAAGTGGGGGAAATGTATAATGCTGTTGAAAGAGCACATCTTTCAGTTATAAGGTGAATGTACAGTGTGACTATAGTTAATAATACTGTGTAATAATACTATACAACAACAATACTTGAAATTTGCCAAGACAGTAGATCCTAAGCCTGCTCACCACACACACAAGGTGAATATGTGAGGTGATGGATGTATTAATTAATTTGACTGCAGTGCTCATTCCACCATATGTACATATATATCAAATCATCACATTGTATACTTTAAATATATATGATTCTGTTTGTCAGTTTTACCTAAATAAAGCTGGGGGGGAAAACAAAAAAGCTGGAAAAATTTTAAAAAGATACATGCTTAAAATTATTAATTGCAGCACTATTTGAAATGGTAAAACACAAAATTCAAATATTCTTTAAAGGAAATGTTACAGTCACAATATAGATGGCTTATATATACAAAGGAGTAATATCCTATATATTGCTATGCTCTCATCTCCAGGATATACTGCTTATTGTTCATTGAAAAAAGTAAGATGGAGAATTATGTGTATAGTATGTTACTGATGATCTAAGACAGTGTAAAATATGTATATATATATTTGCACATATTCTTTAATTAAACACAAGACAACTGTAGTAATAAAATTCAGTTATCTATAGGGGAAGTGATGGTACTGTGTGGAGAGGCGGTTGTAAGGACTAGATTTTACTCAATGCAACTTATTTTACATTGGAACATGCAAATGTTTTACAAAGCTATATAACTGTAATTAAGTGAAAAGATCCAACGTTTATAGAAATACAAATCAAAACAAATTGATCTAAGCTTTGTTGGTATAATAAAACAGAAGTTATTTCAAGATTTTATTTATTTATTTTTAATTTTTAATTCCAGTATAATTAGTGTATAGTGTTATATTAGTTTCAGCTTTACAAAATAGTATTTAAATACTTCTAATCATTACTCCATGTTCATCATATTAAGTACTCTTTGATCCCCATTACCTATTTCACCAATTCCCTCACATGTCTCCCCTCTGATAACCATCAATTTGTTCTCTATATAGTTCAGAGTCTATTTCTTGGTTTGCCTCTCTTTCTCTTTTTCCCCCTATTATCTGTTTTGTTTCTTAAATTCCACATAGGAGTGAAATCCTATCGTATTTGTCTTTCTGTGACTGACCTATGTTGCCAAGCATTATACTCTCTACCTCTATCCATCTCATTGCAAATGGTAAGATTTCATTGTTTTTTGTGGCTGAGTAATATTCCATTTTATATGTCCACCACATGTTCTTTATCCACTCATCTCTGGATGGACACCTGAGTTGCTCCCATATTTTGGCTACTGTAAATAATGATGCAATAAATGTAAGTGTGCATTTATTTTTTTGAATTAGTGTTTTCATTTTCTTTGGGTAAATACCCAGTAGTGGAGATATGGGATTTTTTTTTTCACTTTTTGAGTTATGGGATTATACAGTAATTCTATGTATAATTTTTTGAGGAACAATCATACTGTTTTCACAGTGACTACAACAGTTTGCCGTCCCACCAACAGTGTGCTAGTGTTCCTTTTCTCCAAATCCTCAGCATACTTGTTGTTTCTTGCATTTGTAATTTTAACCATTCTGACATGCAGGAGGTGATATCTCATTGTGGTTTTAATCTGCATTTCCTGATGATAAGTGATGATGAGCATCTTTTCATGTGCCTGTTGGCCATCTGTATGTCTTCTTCAGAGAAATGGCTGTTCATGTCTTTTGCTCATTTTTTAATTGGATTATTTAGATTTCTTTGCTGCTCAGTTGTATTACCTCATTATATGTTTGGATATTAACCCCTCATTGGATATATCATTACCAAATATCTTCTATTTAGTAAACTTTTTGTTTTGTTGATGGTTTCCTTCACTGTATAAATCTTTTTATTTTGATGTGGTCCCAATAGTTTATTTTTGCTTTTGTTTTCTCTGCTTCGGGAGACATCTCTAGAAAAATGTTGTGGGGGTCCATGTCAGAGACATTACTACCTTTGCTCTCTCTTTTTTTTTTTTTTTTTTGGTGTATGTGTAGGGGTTACTTATCAACATGCATTTATTTGAGAATTCTCTTTTCTTTTTTTTGCTATTTTTTTATTATGTTATGTTAATTACCATACATTATATCATTAGTTTTTGATGTAGTGTTCCATGATGCATTGTTTGCATATAACACCCAGTGCTCCATTCAGTGCATGCCCTCTTTAATACCCATCACCAGGCTAACCCATCTCCCCACCCCACCCCCTCTAGAACCCTCAGTTTGTTTCTCAGAATCCATAGTCTCTCATGGTTCATTTCCCCCTCTGATTTCCCCCACCTTCATTTTTCCCGTCCTGCTATCTTCTTCTTCTTCTTTTTTTTTTTTTAACATATAATGTATTATTTGTTTCAGAGGTACAGGTCTGTGATTCAACAGTCTGACACAATTCACGGTGCTCACCATAGCACATACCCTCCCCAATGTCTATCACCCAGCCGCCCCATCCCTCCCACCCCCACCACTCCAGCAACCCTCAGTTTGTTTCCTGATATTAAAAATTTCTCATATCAGTGAGATCATATGATACATGTCTTTCTCTAATTGACTTATTTCGCTCAGCATAATACCCTCCAGTTCCATCCACGTCATTGCAAGTGGCAAGATTTCATTCCTTTTGATGGCTGCATAATATTCCATTGTATATATATACCACATCTTTTTTTTCTGTTATTTCTTTATTATTACATCTTCGTTTGTTCTCATTCCATTATTTATAAACTTACAAATGCTAAGCTTATACTTGATGATTTTAATAAACTTTTCTATTTCTTTTTTATTCTGCATCGTTTCCATTTGATTTTCTAGAACACTAAATTGCTTTTCTTTTTTTTCTTTTTTTATTGTTATGTTAATCACCATACATTACATCATTGGTTTTTGATGTAGTGTTCCATGATTCATTGTTTGTGCATAACACCCAGTGCTCCACGCAGAATGTGCTCTCTTTAATACCTATCACCAGGCTAACCCATCCCCCCTCCCTCCTCCCCTGTAGAACCCTCAGTTTGTTTTTCAGAGTCCATCATCTCTCATGGTTCGACTCCCCCTCTGATTTACTCCCCTTCATTCTTCCCCTCCTGCTATCTTCTTCTTTTTCTTTTTTCTTAACATATGTTGCATTATTTGTTTCAGAAGTACAGATCTGTGATTCAACAGTCTTGCACAATTCACAGTGCTCACCATAGCACATACCCTACCCAATGTCTATCACCCAGCCACCCCATCCCTCCCACCCCCACCACTCCAGCAACCCTCAGTTTGTTTCCTCAGATTAAGAATTCCTCATATCAGTGAGGTCATATGATACATGTCTTTCTCTAATTGACTTATTTCACTCAGCATAACACCCTCCAGTTCCATCCACGTCATTGCAAATGGCAAGATCTCATTCCTTTTGATGGCTACATAATATTCCATTGTATATATACACCACTTCTTCTTTATCCATTCATCTGTTGATGGACATCTTTATACCACATCTTTTTTATCCATTCATCTGTTGATGGACATCTTGGCTCTTTCCATTGAGGCTTGTTTCTTATCTGCAGAGACAGTATTTCTTCATCTGTAACCAGGAATAATAATATCCCTTTTCTAATAGAGCTTGGGGAAGATTAATCCAAAAAAAGCATGCAAAAGACCCAGCCTAGACAGACTCACAGACATAGGACCTTCATATACTGTGGTAAGAATTGGAGGGAATAAGAGGAACCAGAGGAAATCTTCCTCAGAGATCCTATTAAGACCAGAGACGATTCACTGAGAGGTGCTGGGAGCCCTGCTGAGAGAGCTTCGCCTGCATCATAACATGAAACCCTCACTGAAGTCCTGAGAGGTAGGTCCCATGGCTTCCCTGCTGCACAGCAAAGA